GTGGAAGATTCTAAAAAAATATCTAACCAGCACTCTTCAAAAGTGTCAAAGCAATGAAAGACAGGACTGTCACAGAAGACACTAAGGAAATATGACAACTAAATGCAATGTGGGATCCTAGATTGGAATAAAGAACAAGAACCTCAGTGGGAAAATTTGTAAAAACTGAGTAACGTCTGTAGTTCAGTTAGTAGTACTACACTAAGGTTAATTTCTTAGCTCTAAAATTGTACTGTGGTCAACTGTAGTCAAGTAAGAGGTCACCACTGGAAGAGAATAGAGGCCAACTATTATTTTTGCAGCTCTTCCACAGGTCTAAAATTATTTCAAACTTTTTATAGTTTAAAAATGTGAGGGGTAATAAAAAAATGAACTATTTACTGACAGACACAACATCAATAAATCACAAAAACATTATGCTGAGCAAAAGAGGCCAGACACAAGAGTACATACTGCATGATTCTATTTATATGAAATTCTGAAAAGGACAAAATTAATCTATAGTGACAAAAAGCCCTGAGGCAAAGAGCGGGAGGGCGAACTGACTTCAAAGAGGCAATGAGGGCACTTTTTGGAGTGATGGAAATATTCTTTATCTTAAGTGGTAGTTAAACACGTGTATACATTTTGTTGAACTAAATTTATATACTTAAAATGCATGTTTTATTATATGTAACTTACTCCTCAATAAAGTTTATTAAAATTTAAAAAATAAGTTCATATTTAAAAGTATTTCACTTGAATATTGCATATTTTATACTGGGTAAACTCAAATACAGTGACTGATTCTTTTTTTTATATAGTTTTTAATTAATTTTTAAGTTTTTAATCACCTGATGCTCATCACAACAAGTACAATCCTTAGTCCCCCCCCCTCTATTTTACATTCCTTCACCCACCTCCCCTCTGGTAACCAGCAGTTTGTTCTCTATAGTTGAGTCTGTTTCTTGGTTTCTCTCTCTTTTCCCCTTTGCTCGTTTGTTTCTTAAATTCCACATATGAGTGAAATAATATGGCATTTGTCTTTTTCTGACTGACTTATTTCACTTAGCATTATACTCTCAAGCTCCATCCTTCCATTGCAAATGCCAAGATTTCATTCTTTTTATGACTGAATAATATTCCATTGTGTGTATGTGTGTGTGTGTGTGTGTGTTTATCACATCTTCTTTGGGTAAATACCCAGTAGTGCAATTCCTGGATCATAGGGTAGTTCTATTTTTATTTTTTTAATTTTTTAATTTTTATTTTTTATTTTTTTAAGATTTTATTTATTTGCGAGAGAGAGAATGAGAGACAGAGAGCATGAGAGGGAGGAGGGTCAGAGGGAGAAGCAGACTCCCTGCTGAGCAGGGAGCCCGATGCAGGACTCGATCCAGGGACTCCAGGATCATGACCTGAGCCAAAGGCAGTCGCTTAACCAACTGAGCCACCCAGGCGCCCAGGGTAGTTCTATTTTTAATTTTTTGAGGAAGCTCCATACTGTTTTCTACACTATCTGTACCAGTTTGCATTGCCACCAACAGTGCACAAGGGATCCTTTTTCTCCACATCCTCACCAACACCTGTTGCGTCTGTGTTTTTGATTTTAGCCATTCTGACAGGTGTGAGGTGATACCTCATTGTAATTTCGATTTGCATTTCCCTGATGATGAGTGATGTTGAGCATCTTTTCATGTGTCTGTTGGCCATCTTTTGTCTTCTTGGGAGAAATGGCTGTTCTTCTCCCCCATTTTTAATAAGATTATTGAGTTTTAGAAGTTCTTTATATATTTTGGATACTAACCCTTTCTTGGATGTCATTTGCAAAAACCTTCTCCTGTTCAGTAGGTTGTCTTTTAGTTTTGTTGACTGTTTTCTTCGCTGTGCATAAGCTTTTTATTTTGATGTAGTTTCCATAGTTTATTTGCTTTTGTTTCCCTTGCCTCAGGGGACCTATCTAGAAAAAAGTTGCTATGGCCGATGTAAGAGAAACCCCTGCCTCTACTCTCTTCTAAGATTTTTATGGTTTCAGGTCTCACATTAAAGTCTTCATTTTTCTTACAGTTTTTAATTAAGTTTTTATCTTAATAAAGTATAGTGATTAACTCTTAAACTGATTTATTAAAACTTATGTACCCAAACTGTTCATTCTATATTTACTGAGCACCTGCTACATGACAGGCTTTAGGAAACACATAGGATATAAAAGTGAAAAAGAAAGCCCTTGCCCTTGAAGAACTCACAGGCCAGTGGGGAAACAGGCAAGCAAACAAAAGCTGCAAATGATATATAAACTGCTCTTAGGAAATGATGTACCAAGGTGTCAGGACTGCAGAGAAGACAATGTCTCAGACAAGGCTTCAGAACAAATATAGACCCTTTCCAAGAACTTATCCCGTGAGGCTATTACACTTATTCCAGGGATGTTTATTCCAAATACTCAAAGCTTTCAAAAAAATCTTCTTTTAATCTTGTCTCTATACTTTATGGCACATTTTTCTGACGAAAAGTCCTTAGCACTTCATGGGTGTGGTTTTTTTTGTTTTTTAAATAATAAAAGTTATTCTCAGATAAATTTAATGAATACTATTCTGGAAAACAGGAGAAGAGTACAAGCCAATAAACTTGTTTTCCTATGTGCTTTATGAAGTGAAGGTAGTACCATAAGAAGACTAGCAATGTTTTTCATCCAACACTGAGTTGTTGAAATAATGTACAGTTTCTCAAGGGGGACTCCTTTATTATTTTTTTATTTATTTATTTTTAAAGATTTTATTTATTTGACAGAGAGAGCAAGACAGCACAAGCAGGGAGAGCAGCAGAGGGAGAGGGAGAAGCAGGCTCTCTGCCGAGCAGGGAGCCCAATGTGGGACTTGATCCCATAACCCTGGGATCATGACCTGAGCCAAAGGCAGACGCTTAACCATCTGAGCCACCCAGGTGCCCCAAGGGGGACTCCTTTAAAGGGCATTACCCGTTTGAGTGCTTAAGTCCTGGTTTGTTTGTTTAAGGGAGGGAGCCTAGTACTTTGAAATTATACCTCACTATAAATTGTCATTGTTCAAAATGATAATTTAAACTTACCATAATACATATATACATGTGTGTGTATACTCACATACACATTTAAATGTATACTTAGGTTTGAATCTCAGTTCAGCTATATCATAGCTAAACACCCTTGGACAAAGTCCTAGCATCATCTGTAAAATGAAGACAACAGTAATATCTGCCTCATAGAGTTTTTGTAAATATTAAATAAGTGATGTGAATGAGATAATCCATGTATTAAATGAGATAATCTATTATTAGAACAGGGCTTACTTAGCACATAATAAGCACTTAATAAGTGTTAATAATTAACTATTATATTTATATATAAGCAAAGTATATTAGTATCTTTACTAAGAATAAGCATTAAAATATGAAGTGGGATTAAAAAAACAAAAAAGCAAAAAGAAGAAATCATAAGGTATCTTTAAAGTTTAGAGACTTTTTTCAGTGACTTTTTCATTAAACAAGAGAATTCATTTTTTCATTATTCTGTGGGAACATGTAGTTATCGCAATGCTCAGTAACAAAATGTGCCTGAACAGTACAGGTTTTCAATAAACACTAACAACTATTTCAATACAATGAGATTGTCTTAATAACCAAGGGAAAAAAAATCTGTCACTTTTTGTTCCCATTAACTTCTACTGCTGCTTTAGATAGTATCTCTTTCAGCTGAATTATCTTACCATTCCTTTCCCTGGAGAGGTAAAATTCTAGAAAGGAGAGAGACTGTAGGATTTTCTCCCAATTTGGAAGATCTACCCTGAGAAAGTACAGTACTTCCAACTTGCTTTCTGAGAAGCGGTCCTAAAAGTGTCTGTGTCCAATCAGAAAAATATGTAAGGATAAAAATGCAGCAAAAACAACTTTAAGGCAATAGAAAATGAAATAAACAACAAAGAGTATGGAGGGAAGAAAGGGAAATTCAAACCAAGTCAGTGTATATTTTTAATATATAACTTGTTTGGTATATAGCATAGCTACATCTATGTGGCAACTACCTATAAACTGCATATGTTCATTTTTGCATTATTATATTACAATACATATTTACATATATTTATAATACATTTATGTGTTATAATGAATATTATTATATTAGCCTAAATTGAACATCAAATTGAGATCTAATTTGAGATGGAACTCAGTTTTCTAATACTGTTATAAGACGCTTCTGAAGAAAGTGAATTTATACATTTTAAGATTTTTGTGTAAAGACAGTATTTTTTAGAGAAAATTTCTGAAAGATTCTTTTTCAAGTGTCATGGCAATGCACACATGCATGCATATACATATATACACATGTACTCAACTCAGTCCTTCATCTCTACTACTTAAATGACATTTTCACATCAAAATCAAATGAATTTTTAATAAAAACTTCATAAGTTCTGAAGAGATCTTGCAACTATTAACTAATCCACTGATTATTTCAAATATATCTCAGAGATAGGAAGGGAAAAACAGTACAGCGCTGTGTTTAAAGTCTATTTGATAATGAGCAAACAGCTCTAATTTTTTAAAAGTCTTTACATAGTGCATTTGCAATCGTTTCAAAGGAAATAAACACATTTTCCATTTGTCTTAAGAATAACATTAAAATTTTTAACTGTTAAGTTTTCCTTGGGTAGAACAAGAGATACAAAATTCCATCATTGAAGAATAGTTTTACAAAGTAAAAGCCAAAAGTGCCCTGATATACAAATTAATGTATAATTTCACCATACTATTTCTTACCAAGGACTCTAAAATAATTTAGCACTTGTTCTACATATCTATACCATGTAAATTTCAAGGATATCTGGTAATTTCAATATTCATAAATATCAATGGAAGGAGCTTTGATAACAAGAGCTTCTAGTAGCTAAATATATGATTAAATCAAGTGTTTACTGAATTGCCTCCTGTAGACCCACTCTGTTATATATAAAGCAGTTTTTAAGCAATCAAAAAGTGCTACTCACCAGCAAGTGTATAATCCATATCAAAACCAAAACACTTTATTTTTTCCATGGCTAAACTTCGGTTCACAAACACCCTAAAAAAAGAAGCAAAAAATGATCTCTCAATTAACACTGAAGCAAATCCGCCCCCCCAAAATTCCTAAATTTAATGTAATTATTTGGTTATCTTTCTAGATTTTTTTCATTTAAATACCAGTATTAAGATTCATAACAGGGGCACCTGGGTGGCTCAGTTGGTTAAGTGTCTGCCTTCGGCCCAGGTCATGATCTCAGGATTCTGGGATGGAGCTCCACTTCCGCATCAGGGCTCTGGCTGGCTCCCTGCTCAGTGGGGAGTCTGCCTCTCCCTCTCCCTTTGTCCCTCCCCTTGAAGCATCTGCCTTCAGCTCAGGTCATGATCCCAGGGTCCTGGGATAGGAGTCCTGCATCGGGATCCTTACTCAGTGGGAAGCCTGCTTCTCTCTCTGCCTGCTGTTCCCCCTGCTTGTGCTCGCTCACTCTTCTCTCTGACAAATAAATAAAATCTTTAAAAAAAAAAAGATTCATAACAAAATTATTCAAGTCCTTCTTATACCATAAATGAAATCAGATAAATGAAAATATACGTATTTTCTTAACTGTGTCTTAGTATTAACAATGCCATGTGCTAAAGACTTCAGAGAATCAGCTCTCTTTTTCTAAGTTTGACTCCCTAAGATAAACTTATTTTTGAGATTTTATAATACATTCACTCATTCATTTATAATTTATTTAATAAACAGAGTTCATTTAAAGCCTACAACATGCCAGATACTAAAGACATAAACATAAATATATTCGTTCAAATGCTGAGTGCTTACTATATCCCAAACAAGGTACATGATACAGCAGTGAATGAACAAGAGTACCTGCCCTTATGGAACTTCTATTTTAATTTATAATCTCTATCCTTGAGGAATTCAGCCTAGCAGGAGAGACACTTATACACAAATAATTTCAGCAATTCGATAAATGCTATAAAGTAAGACAGAGGCAAGGATACCACTTCTTTAGAGACCAGAAGAGATGTCTGAGATGAATCTTAAGCAATCAGTAGAAGTTTTTCAATTGGACAAAGCAACAAAGGCAATCCAGGCAGAATAACTAAGCAAGGACAAGGTTTATAGTGAACTATAAAATATTTACTATGGCTGGAGCAGAGGAGTTTTGTTTGGTTTTGCTTTCCTATTTGTTTTTGCAAAAGGTTTTCCAGAAGGGTAGGGGTAGGAAGAAGGGGCAATAAAAGCTATGAAGCTAAAAAGGTTAGTAGTAGTCAAAATCATGAAGACTCTGTATGCCACATTAGAGTTTGGACTTGATTGTGCAAGCAAGGACAAATTACCAGATTTTGAAGAAATGAAATAATCAGAGTCAAATTTCAGAAAGATCACTTTTGAAGACATGGGGAAAACTAAACATATAATAGCATGGCAAATCATCACCATGATGATGTTTTGGGGTAAGTTTTAATCATCTCTGAAAACAAAAATATCCTTTCAGGGCACCCAGGTGTCTCAGTCAGTTAAGTGTCCGACTCTTGATTTTGTCTCAGGTCATGATCTCAGGGTTGTGAGATCAAGTCCCATGTCAGGGTCTGCGCTGGGCATGGAGCATGCTTGGGATTCTCTCTCTCCCTCCTCCTGCTCCCTCTGCCCCTCCCCACCGCTATCTTAAAACACACACACACACACACACACACACACACACACCCTTTCCATCTCATCCCGAGCTTGACAGCCAAAATTATTGAATGGTTTATCCTCTTATTACCAAACCTTTTCTTTGCCTTCATTTTAGAAGTAACTATGAGAAATGAGAATGCTACAAATAAAATAAAGATGCGTGGGTTGGGCTCCTATTCACGATGTAGGTCAATAATCTCCAAAGAGGAATGACTATACCAGGGGATGCAGAAGACTCTACTGGGTACAAAAAGAAGGTATCATAGGGCGCCTGGGTGGCTCAGATGGTTAAGCGTCTGCCTTCGGCTCAGGTCATGATCCCAGGGTCCTGGGATCGAGTCCTGCATCGGGCTCTCTGCTCCTTGGGAGCCTGCTTCTTCTCCCTCTGCCTCTCTCTCTCTGTCTCTCATGAATAAATAAATAAAATCTTTAAAAAAAAAAAAAAAAAGAAGGTATCAGATCTTCTACTGATACTTATTTCATCATTTAAATATGCTTAATTTGTGTATGTTTTCTACTATATACAAATAAGGACAATAGTCCATGAAGGGATGAATGTTCTACATTTTAACTGATGGAATACTGGGGAGTTTGGGAACCACTAATCTAGGTAATGACTCTTCACCAACTCATATATTACTATTTCAAGTTTTAACAGAAAACTTCCTCTCATCTCAGAATGTATGCACCAATTTTAAATGCAGACCAAAAAAATCAAGTATTTGCTTAGAAATATTTTAATCAAGGACTTAAAATCAATAGGCCCTTGAATTAAGAACTATTAATCTTCTGAAAAATACGAAAATCATTACTTATCTTAGTGTGTTATGCACACTGGATTAGCTCTATAAAACCCTTAGTTCCTGAGAACTAAATCCTGAGAATTAATGCCAGTATTGGTATTTACCTCCTTATCTCTGTAATACTGTAGATTAACACTTTATTTTTCTAATGGGATTATGTACATCAATTATGCTTTACCCAGTTTATCTACTAAGTACAGATGAGTTATATATGAAAGTCAATGTTTAGAATCTAGGTAATACTGAGTCTTGTATATTAGTTTTGCCACTGACCAATGGTGGACTATATTTTATATACAAAGTACCTAAAAGGCCTATTTATAATTCTTCTTACCCCAAATTACTGTAGCAATATTCCTTTGGATTTTGGGCTTCCTCTGCAGATAGGTGTTTTTCTTTTCCCTTTTCTTGGGGCTTCTTTTCCCCTTAATTAGACCTGTTGGGCGCTTTGGTCTCCTATTTTAAGATGCCCTAATACAAGTCCTTTCTAATAGATGGGAGGGAGATAGAAGCCTAATGGATAGCCGAAAGATCCAAGGAACTACAAGATAAAAGACACCCATTCAAATCTTTTTTTAAACACCCACAAACCCAAATATATCACCATGATCTTTTTACCACTTCATCAAATTTCACCCTGCTTTTACTGATAAAAGTATCTACTTTATTATCACCTTTTCTCAGTTACATAAATCCTTTTGAAGGCACAAGAGGGGTAAGACACAAAGCAATGGTTCTAACTCTGGAAACCAAATGTTGCCACTGAAGATTAGGCTTTTCAAACACACTCTCAATTCAGGCTAGAGGCCAACTGGATCAAATCCTTGATCAGAGCCCAAACAGCTGACATGCCTAAAATATTCTATGGGAATTCAGGCAGGAACGACTGCAAAGATTCTTATGATACAACCCAGGAGGGATACATGTTGGGAGCATATGATAAAAGAAACAGCTTGGTTTCTGATAGAATGATGTGAGCTGGTTTCAGCACAGCTCAAATCACAGGGTAAAAAACAGACTTTGCTACTATCAATCAATCAGTGCTAAAGGTAGAAAGAAACTATCAACAGACCCAGCAAGATAGCTTACCAGTTTATTTCTTGGTCAGAAGAAAGATTAAGCCTGTACTCCTTTATAACATTATTTTAAGGATATGAAGATTATAATGCACCTTAGGTATATTATCCATACAAACTCTTGGAATCACATATGTTGGGAATATGAAAATCTATTGTTTTTGCCAAAATTATGACTGCTAAATATCCATCAAATCGCACTCTTTCCCCTTCGATTAACTTGTTACCTTATTCAATTAGCACATTTGTTGAAAGCCTACTACAAAGCCAGAACCACTTTGTTTCAGGGAGTAGACTGAGTGAGGAAAGACTTTTTAGATGCGTAACTTTAGGAAGTAAGATGTTGTCTTATGAAGACCTTCCACTAAATATCCTTCATCTTTTCACTTTCATTCAAAATAAGTAACCTCATCCACAGAAGAAATTCCTGAATTTAAGAAACAATCACTCCTGTCTCCCCTTCTCAATCCTATTATGAAACAAAAAGAAAAATCTCACATATGTTTTCATCTCTTCTTTCCCTATAAAACATGGAAGGAAAGGGCAATAAGGGAATTAAATCTAATTTGGGTGCGAATATCTAAAGTGTATTAAGTAAAGCTATAATGACAAAAGGGGACAGCTGGGTTATAGAGAATTGCAATAATACATACTCTTAAGATTTACAGAGATAATAAATACCCAAATGCTGAAAGTATGCACTGACTTCAGAAGACAGGCAGCCTGGGGCCAGAAATATCATGTCTCCAGGATACAGTCTTCAAGAGAAACAATCCCTTGGCCCCAAACTAATCACTATTCTTTACTGTTACAACAAAAGAGAATATTAGGCACTGTATCAGTTAAAAGACTGGCTCACTGTCCCACCATACATTTAAAACAAAAGACTGTATCTGCTTGGAGAATTCAAAAATTTCTATTGGTCCCAGGGCCTTGACTCTGGGCCAATGCCAATTTACTCGTGTCACTTTTCTAAATTATTAACCAGTGGAACACACTCTACTATAGACCTCCACTTCCGGAATGTGAATACATTTGTGAAATGAACTTTCCCAAGCTTATTTTAAATAAAGCACAAAGTCTCCACAAAGCATGACTGACCTAAGCATCCAACCTTAAAATGCAATTATCAGTCAGAAATTCCTACATACTAAGGCATATTTGCAAGATACAGATTTGAGCATTAACAAGAGAAACCATCTTTAGGAAACAACACATATAAAACCTGGCACTATAAAACCAGGCACAGATTTAGACAGAGATAAATTTAACAGCTTTTACTATCACATCCCTCCACAGTAAGGAATGAAATTTAAAGAAATTCTATCCAAGGAAATATAGATATTAACCATAAGAAATAAGACTATGTGCTTTAAGAGTAAGGATCTAGTATCTTCATACTTAAGGAACACGAACATGCAATTTACTAAATTTAGAATTTTGTCAATAGCAAACTTGTAGCAGTTTTGAGATTTAACTCATAATTCAAAGCAGCATTACCTCATCTGTCACTGGTTGCCGTTCTGCAATGCGTGAAACTGAGTCAGTAAGTTCTTGAAGTCACATAACAAAATTCTTCTTCAAGTCCCTAGTATAATTTATTTCTGTGTAAATTTAACCTAACTTCAAAAAGACTGTTTTAGTCTGAACCAAGCCCCTCAACAGCATGTATCTTCTGAGACTGTTGGAGAAAACACCTCTGTGTCTAATTTAACTTGTCATTGGATATCACTGTTGCTCCACACAAATCCATTTGGAAGAGTTTCTTTGGCGATGGTGCACTTTATCCCTAGCTCCTCCCCCTGTCTAGAGTCACAATTTCCTGGCCAAGGGCCCAACAACAGTTACTGCAACAACAAATGAGACTAAAGATACAAGTATAAAATCTTCTTGGGCATGTTTTGGTTATGGGTTTGTGTAATAATATACTCCAAGCTTGTTGCAA